ATTGTCCTTCTCCGGAATTGTTGCTGGGAGTTGAAGATATTGTTTTAGACCGTACATCCTGGTAGACTAGTAGTCTCATTCGTCTATGGATCCAAGAAGCTGTATGACTACCTGGACGACAATCCACTGATCGAGTTCGGTGATGTCCAATGGGTCAACGACCCGTCAGTCATTCGACAGAATCCTAAAGTCGTCGCCATCAATTCAGCCGTCGAGATTGATCTCACTGGACAAGGTAAGTATCCCAGCGGTAACATATCTCTGGCTGAAACAATTATAGCATAGGTCGCCTACTTAGAAGGCTTGTTTCGCTAGTTTTACATCAAAATAACCTAACGCGTAGAGCTCGTTGTCATTGAAGGAAGCTTTTCTTTCTTTCAAGCTCCCTAGTCTAGAAAGATCAATGGTTTCGAGATGGATCTGAACGCAAACTTTTTAGTGGTGGCTGATTCGGTCGGCAAGCGATTCCTTTCTGGTTTCGGTGGTCAAGTAGACTTTATTCGTGGAGCTGCCATCGGTAACGACGGCGAAGGCAAGCCAATCATCGCTCTTCCGTCAATTTCGAAAAAAGGCCAGAGCAAGATTGTGCCCTACATACAAGAGGTTAGTTGGCCTCAGATGTCTGCAATTTTTCCAATCTATATCCAGTCACTAATTTCATTTTTCTAGGGTGCCGGCGTTGTCACTTCTCGATCTCACGTTCACTACGTTGTCACTGAGCACGGTATCGCTCAACTGTGGGGTAAGAACATGCGGCAAAGAGCGTACGAACTCATCAAAATTGCTCATCCGTCACAACGTCAAGCACTGGAGAAGGCCGCTTTTGAAAGGCTGAAGGTGAGGCCAAGCTCATGTTACTCACTGCAATCGCACCCTTTTTGGATCTACTAGGGTCGCATTTCACGAGTAAAGATGATAAAATTGTCTACAATGAAAGGCTGAAGGTGTTGGATCTAAAGGTACGGGTCGCGATCTGGCCCTTGAGGAATGCCCTTTTGGAGAGAGGTGAAAAACCCCTAATCATGGAAGTTGCGGTACTGTCACGACTTGGAAGTGTGCGACAAGGGAGCTAGTGACCCCGCTGGACCGCTGCGACCGCTGCCGTTCTTAGCAGTGCACGGCGTCTGCGCGCTCCCATACAGCGTGCTCTCTCGCGTTTTCCCTCTTCTCGGGCGTCGTGCTTCTCCGTTACACCACGTTCACAAGAAAAATTAGTGTTTTCCTTTCTCTTCCCCGCTAACGTTTCTCCTCGCGCTTCCTATGTAACTATAAAACGAAATGACACAGCGATTCGATCGCGACCCGTGCCTATAAGCTTCGGTTCGTTTGACGTTTGAATTCTTTCCTTGCGGCGCTTTTCCCAGTGAACTCGCAGCACTGCCCTTCACGTGGCCGTTTTCTGAAGTATCCTTCAAATGTGTTTTTGTTTTGGTTAAATGATGTCAATTATTCCAGGTAATGCCATCTGCGGACTAAACGAACAGAGATTTCATTCCTTCCTCCAAATCAATAACTGCTCTCTGGGCACTTCCGGTGTTCTTTCTAAACTTAGCCTCGTCTTAGATTTTGTAGAAACTCGGTGTATGTTTTCCTGTATCCCTCAGACGACTAGGCGCCAACGTTTTACGGTGTATAGATGCATATTTTATTAGTGAGTCAGTCTTATCATATAGTATTCAAATGTGACTCGCGCAAAGGCGCTGATGTTTCCCGTCACCGGTATGTTGTGTTTTTGAAGGTTCTGTTTGGATTGTTTCCCCATATTAAGGTTATCATTATGATTCTTCTCACTTGAATCTGATACCTGAATAAATAGTTTTATGGCTCAATTTGTAGTCGTCCAGTAAACCTACATTGATCCATAGGAAGTCTCGTGAAAATCTTCTAGTTGTTGATCAGTGGTTGATTTTTTTATGAATGAAAGCTAGGACTGCTTCGCAAGTTTCTATCGTTCTTTCCGTGGTCGGGCATGTCGCAATTGCGGACTATCGCCGGCATTACTCGAGATCCGTAAGTTGGGGTAGGCGTGTCACCGGAAGTGACGTGTACTTGATAGAATCTATGTGGATAAGGTGCTTCCAATATATATCGCGAGATATCAGCAAAGCATGCTGGCAGCGACTTACCTACGCAACCTCTATCAAGTCCACGTCACTTCCGGTGACACGCCTACCCCAACTTACGGATCTCGACTGTATGTCGACGTAGCCGCATAACTTCGTATAATGTACACTTATACGAAGTTTGACCTGTTTTGATGAAATGTGTGATGAGTGTAGATCTGCAGGTACGCCGCCCCGATCTTTTACTTTGAAAAACAGCGTATACTTTGCGAACCTCCTAGCGAGAAGGATCAAAGAAGGTATTGTCTAGCCTGGCCTGTGAAGAACAGGGGTCTCACAGGGTGAGAGAAGATTCCTTACTCACATTGACGTTTCATGACGCGGTTGCAACTCTCGCGATACCGCCAACAAAATTTCTCTATTTCTTATCCACTCTCTGCTCTACGTGTGACTATGTTTCAGAATGTCATTACACTCTATGCGGATCGGAAACGTAAACTCAGATTACCCTAATAAAATCTCGTAGGGGTAAGTTACTATATCTATGTGCGAGTTGCAATAGTGACCCTCTAACCGTCACAAATAACCAACAGAGCCGATCCAGCACGTGGTATCAAGGATGTGAGAGCCATTTCGTTCGGAGTGATGTGACAATCGGCAAGGAAGATGTCTCAACAGAGCTCCGAACATATTTTGAATCTATGAAGCTGGGGTCCTATTGGAATAGATTGTTCACCCCTCATTTGCCAAATACCTCGCGGTAACAGATTGTGCACCGAGTTGTCTTTGCTCGGTCTAGCCGACAAAAAAACTGTGTGAAAGATACAAAACAAGCGCCTCCAGCCATCGCCGCCATACATCGCTGTACAGCTCGCATCTTCGGTGATACATCTATCTACACTTCTATGATATTCTCTATTCTCCCACACAATCTTCGCTCACGAAACTGACACCATCCGCTCTCTCTCATACGCTCCTCTCTTATAGTCGCTCCATGAATGAGTGAACGGAGCTACGAAGTAGATTTCCCCGCGGACTAGGGCCGTACAAATAATGACCTTAAGATGGTATGTGACCAAGAAACAGATCATGCGTAAGTACTCACCCTATCACCCTTGCCGGCCTAAGCCGATGGGCGTATCTCTCTACATAGGTGAAGGTACTGACCGAAAAAACACCTCTTTAGTACTCCTGTCTCTCCGCCTTCTCCGTGATCCCGACACCAACAACCACCTCGATAACCTCATAATTATCATACTCATCTCACATGCACCCAACTGTATTCGACCCCCTGCGGATACACGACCATCACACTCGCAGCCCGCTCGACTGTCCGTAGCAGCTGTTGTCTCTATACTTCCTATGAACTAGATCTACCCTCACACCTTATCTCCTTTCCCTACCCACCCTCAACCCCGCACACAGTCACGAGATTTTGAAAAGTGTTAAACGCTTATGAGCGAAGGATACTAAAAAAAGCTCAATACTAAGGTCATAACCCTACTCCAGTATGTAAATACTAGTGCAGTAAGTAAATCTTGACATGAACTAACGGATTAGAGACATAGGAATAGGGATTTTTGCCCAGTAAGGCGGCATGTCAACTAGGCTTGTGTTCGATTACAGAAATCCAAAACATAGCTGTCAAGAAACATCCAGAAAAACATGGTAGGGCTGATTCAGCGAAGAGAACAAAGGTCAAAATATCACTAAAAAGAGCGCTAGGCTGTCGCGTAAAGTGACGCTTTAGATGCCAATCTGAGATTGGCCGATAGTATGAAACGGGCTGTGAGAGATTACAGAGGGCAAGCGTGGGATCAGACTAGCGAAGCGCAAGCTATGACAAGTATGCTAATTTGTAGGGCGGTAGTAAATATCATTTTGTTGTCCAGTCCCAAGAATAATAGCTTGGCTACAATGTGGCACGCAGGCTACATGGCATAGTAGCTATTACTATATGCATATTTATGTGGACTGAGACAACATTGAAATTTCTCAAAAAATCGAAATCTGTTCTCCATCCTTTTGGGAACGCACATCTCGGTGCTGCCCTTCCCTTGTATGCTAACCTATCCTCTACAGACTAGATGCAAATACACGGCGCTCGACACTCTACGTGTAGTTATCAGTTGACACTAAGAAGAAATGGATTATCTAGGCACGAGTTATACGGGTGGCATTGCGCCGTTGCAGGCTCCCTTGGGTCCTCAGGGTACCGATGGATGCTTATCGATAACAGAAAAGCGCGGGGCTTGGCCACCTCTTACACGACCTATCGACACATTACTGTCCAGTGCCCGTGTCTCTACCTCTCACTCACTCTGGCCCAGTAGAGACGTGCCCATACAGTGAGCATCGTCAGTATGAGCTGCTCACTGGTTGCCGCGCAGCAGTCAGGTTCTGCCAGGGCATCTATGTATATGGTGCACTACCAGTGGCGACGCGAGATATTTATTCCAGACGATTGACAACAGAAGTGTTGAGGGACACCATTCCAAGGTGGTTCAGTTCTAGGACCTCAACGAAGAATAATCCAGCGGGAAGAGCGAATTACGATGAGACTCTAGTCGAATTAGCGGGACGGTCCAAGAGAATTTGCCTCTGCACGGCTGACGTCTTGTAGGGTGGCTACTATGGTTAACTTGCCGATACTGTTCACACGAGCTTAGCCAGTGAAGAATAAACGTGTTTCGCGGATGTTGATCTCCAGAAGCGATAACTTCTCTGACGACAAGGACAGACGACACTCAATGGATATTATGCTAATTCCTCCCGTCAATTTTCTGCTAACGGTGGTCAGCCTTAGACTTTACGCTACACTCTACGCATAAACCCTATAGGACGATCACCCCGCCATTCATGTGTTGAAGTAATTTCCTCTCTGCTTCCCATTTGGCTTCCTTTCGTCATATGAGATGTGACAAGACTTTGCGCTCGCACTAGGTTGGAAAGGTCCGTGGAATTAGTTACACGATGACACTGAACGCCACACCATAACTACATACATTCTGAGCCAATACCGTACCCTGATCTTTGGAAATAATTGCATCGATGACCTTTGCATCGCTCTGTCTCAACGAACAATACTTACTGAATGAAAATCCTTAAAACTGTAGTGTTGCTAATTAGATAGAGATCTTACCGTTGCGAGCGCCCCATGTCAACGAGACTAGAAGACCCTCACGGGCATAGATTACGGCACATGTTGTTCTTTTAACACATTGACGACATTGAGACGCGGTAACGCGTCTCACTTTGCGCACCTCGTTGGACATTGAGACGCGTTACCGCGTCTCACCCTTATCATCCCTTTTTCTAGGGCATGCGCAGCTTTTTCCCGAATTGTTTGTCTCTCTTCTATGGATTAGAACATAACATTATTGTGAACGACATAGGTCATTGTTTGTTCAAATATGCTCCAGTTTAGAAGAAGTTTTCCAAGCTCACCGAAACCGGCGGCTTGGTTCATTAATAGTTTTCATGCTATTCTCATGAACACGTCAATAAAAAAGGGTAGTGAAAGTAAATGCAAATCTAAAGAGACAGAAAAATACATGCTTCACTTGGTATAACCACATCAAAAGAGCTTTTTTGGCATCCACTACAGATAAAATGACTAAAATTTCCTTTTTCATTACCATTACATGTTCTTTAATCGGAACTTCGTCACTATATACTCTATTACCTTCTACGCATTGACTGTTACTGAGATGTTTTTGTACCACTGGTGCTTTAAAAAGTTATCAATAAAAATTCACGGATCCGAGGTGCGGGCGCGTCGCAACCTGGCAAATCGGCCCGGTCCAACGCCAAAAAAGCACAAAGCATGCGCTGCAACGCGTCGTCATGTGTTAATGAACACGATGGCACGTCGTATTGCATGGCGAAGTCTCCAATCACTAGTGTGCGAATCAAAGTCAATACGTATATTGGGTACTTCTCTTTATCAAAATTGAAATCCTCACTCAACTGCTTCACAGGATTCAGAAAAACGTAACAATATTTTGTAACAACAACAACAACAATGAGACTACAAACAGAAGTTGCTATGTGAGAGTCATCCCTGTCACCATTCAAGCTGGGATTTTCTAACGCGATTAGAAACGAACAAAGAAAAAAAACAATGAATCACATTCAAAGAACAACAGTGAGAGCAGAAAATTTAACCCATCCCTGAAGTGAGCTATTTCGCCAGCTCATCAGCAAGTAATGTGGCTCCTCGGAAAGTGTATTCCTTCAGCTGCTTCATGTTTACCGCTTCCTTCACTTTTTGCTTCACGGTACTCGATCCACAATGGAGCATCTTCAGCAAAACGTGGCAGCCCTGAAATCACTTTCCATTTCATGCGCAATCAGTTTTTCCATATGTTTTCTTACCTTATTACAGCAAATCCATGAACCTAAGTCCTCTTTGGATAACGAATTGACAATCTCAACGGATAATCTCTGATCCTCGGCTAAGGCATTATCACACCTGAACAAAGTAGACATCAATAAATTCTCTAAATAAATTTATCCGAAGACTACCTCAACACAGCCATCAAGACAAAGTGCCCAGCAGGATGCTCGATCAGGTGGAGGCGTTCATTGTCCATGGGTATAAATTCCTTAAAGATATGCTTACACTCTATTCGCAGACTTCTCGAAATGAACAGAATCTGAGACTCCAAATGCAAAAAAACAGGAGGGATAGAAGAATGTGGTATACCTGTTTGGCTATCTGAGCGAGCGCCTCGTTACATTTTTGACGCATCTCAGGCGGAACTTGGCGATCGAACAGATCATAGCTGCCTACAGTGACTTTCCTTATTCACCAAGATTACAAAATAACCATGAAAACATGAGTTAAATTGAAATTCCACGTGAAAATAAATGTAAAAACTCACTTGTGGTTTCCAAACAAGCGGCGATGAATTTAGACCTGTTGTGCTCGAAAATCAACGACTCCATATTTGAGGCGAGATACGCATATAAAGACTCGCAGATGTTCTTGTATATTTCAGCGTAACGATCTTTTTTCTCCTTCTTGCTGAAAGGGTTGGAGTCGCCCTGAAAAAAAAACGGAATTCTAATTTTAAAAAAATGCTCTTGCACTATATGTACAAAGATATTTTCAGCATATGGAAAATCACTAGTGGGGATCCCATGTAGAAAATACTTCGAACATTTGGAGAAATGCTCACTATGCAAAAAGGATTCACACAAAAACCATTCTCCTGGAAGCATGCCACACCTTTTTTTATATAATTTTTCCTTTACTATAATAAAACCAGCAGGTATTTTAAAGCAGTCAAGTGTACAACAATTCGTATTAGGCAATAGAAAGACTCCCATCACTCAGAAAACATTGCATTTTGGCAAGTTTCTTTTTGAAAATTTTATGTAAAGAAAGAGAGGTTACAATTATTATGACGCACCTCACGTAAAAGTTCGATCTCTTCTCGCGGCATTCCTCGGCCATCTCGTGGATGTACAATATAATGAACGACTTTCTCACCCCACGTGTCCATGATCAGTTTGTTCATCTCATGACACAGCTCCTGAAACAGTCCAATAAGATACCATTACTTTCTTTTATTATTAGCTTATTAAATACGAATCGAATGCGGAATATTATAATGCAGACACCGTCCACGATGGGTAAATCAGCTTCATTGGCCCGCCTTAGTATATCCTCAAGAGCAATTAGATTTACTTGCTACCATTAATTGCTTTCGCTCCCCAACCAGAGTCGAATTGAAGTGTACAAGTCCACATCCAATAGGACCCCGCGCATATGGCGACTTTCCTATATTATACGGCTCTTTCCGTTCCGTTATGAAGCTTCTCATCATTTTTGCGATTCTTTCCCGACCTCTGGCTCCATTGGGCAGCAGCACACCTGCTACTAATTTTCCGGAACAGCGTCTCTCATCTCGCGTGCTCTAATACCGTTTTGGGCTTTTCTGCATGCTACCGAATCATAGTGCCGCATAAGGATGCAAGGACTCCTCAAACCGTGCTCTGGGTTGCTATTCGAGTGAACTACTTTTGACATGCGACTAAAAGATTGTGTGCTACTTTTACATTCTTATTGTAATAGAGTATTCACTGCAACAAGCCACCAATAAATAAATCCGACCTATGGTCTAACAATCTAAACCAAGAAACCACGTTCCACCCCAACTTTTGATTCGCGCGCAAGAAATGGATCTTTAAATAAAGCTAGATTCCCTAATATTAAGACAATCACATGAGATTGACCGACAGATCTGGTAATAACAATAAAACACAGGTCAGAGAGTATCTGGCTTTACATACAGGAGGTAACTTTCCGCTTTTCGCAACGCAAACCTTCTCCGTTGCGGGACCCCACCCGTGATCAAGGGTGGGCCTGTGATGCCCGGGAGGGTTAAACTCTTCCTAGCAACCTACACCCTATTCCTTCTGAAATTCTCCACTTACTACATATATGATATTCCGTTACTTGCAAAAAAAAAACTGAAAAAAATCTCACTGTAGTTATGTACTTATTGATAAGTACAGTATCATCAATGGTGTCGAAAAGAGCTAAGAGAACTCGATGTCCATAATGCTCCATTGCCACCTTGACGGCGAGATCTTTGAAGTTCTTCACTATTAACTGAAAGTCGCGTATGGATTAGAAAAAATGAGAGGATCAGTTGCTACACATTACATAACCGTTTCCTGAATAGCCAGCCATAATTTTAGTGTTACATTAACGGTTTTCAAAACGTATAATTGCCTTTACTTACTACTCCTTTTACTATTACTCTTTATGCAATGGCAAGTTCGTCTTCCGTAACTACGTAATAACAGTCGATGAGCTTTTAATTCATGATGATGTAATTCTCCACAATGAAATCTTGCAGAATTACACAGATAAAGTCACCCCAAAGCTCAGTAAAAAATCCTCAGTAAATAAATAAATCTCAGAAATGAACAACTAACCTTCCTGTCCTTAACACTAGCATTCCATATACACTTCATTGCCACATAGGATCCATCTGGTGTGTGAACTATTTCGGGAATTTTATCCTTTAGAGAGTCAATCAAATTTGTAAGTTGATCTGGTTCACAGTGAGAGGCGAAATCTCTCAGAAGACGATGACAGAGCGAGAGCCGCACAGTAGTCCTCAAGAATTACGCAAGTAGAGACCACCATGCAAAAGAACTTACTAAGGTAACTTACTTATCAACCAGTGTAAGAAGCTGCTCTTCGAGATGCTGCAAAATCAATTTTTTCTTTGTTGGTTCCTCGGCTACAATCTCTTCGAGCGTGCGTGGCTTATCCGACTGGAAAATAATGTAAGTATTTACACTTCGCAGTGAAAGTATAATGCAAATACGGATTAAATATATTTTTTGGAAAATGATCAAATTCCTAAAACCACACATTGCCTTACCCTGAATAGAACAAATTCTTTGCCATAAAATTCAGATATAATGTCGAAGCGCTGCTGTGCATTTGCATACTCGTTATAAGCAACTTCAAGTACCCTAAATATGTGAGACACCGTTACTTTCAGTAGGAAACCTGTTGAGAGTTCGCTGTGTAACTGGTGACTTACTTCAGCTGCGTATACAATTCGCATGAGCGACACGGCATGACCTCGGAATGAGCTAATGATCATATTCCTTTGCTCTTTGTTCTAAACATAGCATACGGACATTCAAAAAAAGAACCTTGAATTATGACTTCACATAGCCCATAAGTTGTCACAGTACGTGTAGCACAAAGAAGTGACCTACTTATCCGTTATCATTACCAACATTCAGGCCGTGAGTTCTTCGAAGACTTAAACAAAACAGTTTCTTAATGACAGAACGAACTCAATTAATGAACAGATTTGTGTAAAACTTACGTGCTGATGTAATACCAGGCCTTTTCAAAGCCAGAAGGCATTCAAAAACTCGAGAAATATCGTGAGTATAAATAAGTTTTGGAGCGTAACCCTGAACAATGTCTTTAGAAAAAGGGTTAAAAAAAAATGAAAGGAAAGTGAAAATCGTTACCTTTACAAGTCCAAAAAGCTTCGATACACATTCATCCCTCTCCTGCTTAAGAGTCTTTCTACTGAAAGATTACTTCATAAAATAACATTCCGCAGTCATAGAAACTCGAATCAATAATAGCAAGCAGAAAGACATTGCATAAACTTACGAACCTTCTGATTTTCTCCCACAACAACTTGCACTCCATTGCACGATCATGGTTAGGATTTTTTTGAGACTGAAAAATTCATTATCCTAAATATGAATATACAGTACGACTCTGAGCTCACCTTGAGTTCTCTGAGGAACGCCTTTCTTTGCTTCCTATCCATAGTAAGCAACTGTTCTTTTACTTTCTTTGTTACCTTAAAAGGTTATTACAGGAGTCAGCAAAAAATCATATAGTTTTACTATACCTGTATCGTAATCTTCTTTTTAGGTTTGAAAGTGTTCTTTGCAGCACTAGTATTTTCTTGAACATTTTCTTTCTCTTCATTGTGATCCACTGTTGTTGCAGCAGGTGCAGGAGTATCAGTCTTATCAGGAACTTGGACCTAAACCATTGTGATGCAGCACTTAAGAATGTTATGAATGAGAGGTCGGATTTGGGTTTTACCTTCTTTCTTCTTCTTGAGCGCAGCTTTTTTCGGCTTGACTCGCACAGAATGCCCTTCCCTGGAGACGCTGATGATGGTTTGATTTCAAGATCTTTCACGTTTTTATCGAACACCTTGACCCGTTCCATATTTCCACTGAATGATACCTTAACGAAAGACATTTATGTAGTGGATACGATCATTTCAACAATTTTCCGACAACTATACCCTTTTATCCTTTGGCTTTTTTGGAGGTGCACTCGGTGACGAAGGGTCAACATTAATGGTGTCGTCCACGTCTTCTTTTTCTGATAGTCGTAGCTTGCTCATTTCAGCCTTCACACTTTCGTTAAGTTCACTTTTAAACTTCATCTTCTCCTCAAGCTGAAAGAAACAACAAGCAAAATAAAAAAAAAAAAAAAAAAAAGACGAGAAAACGGAAAAAAAAAAAAAAGACAAAAAAAACAAAAAAAAAAACTTCTGAAAAGTATTTTGGTATCCGTAAAAAATGGGAGCTGAACCACGGAAGCGTTCTTCTGTAGAGCACAAGATAGCTAGACCGCTTACCTTCAACAGTCGTCTCCTGTCGACTTGATTCAACTTCAAGCCTTTAGCCTTCTTCTCCAATAGATTTTTCACCTTTTTCTTTCCTTTCATTTTCTTTTTCCTGTCCATTCGTACACCAAGCGCTGCCATTGTGGCACCTAAACAAGAAAATACATAAGTGAAATAGTGAAAAAAAAAACACCACTCAGACTACAAGAAAAGCGTTCAGGGTGGGTTTTTCGCCTAGAACCACGAAAGCGAATTCTATCGCTTTTTCGCAATGCGAAAATGCTCTCTGAAACGGAAACTCCAGACATATTGCAGTTTTATGTCGGCAGGACCCGTTCGGCATATTGAAAATAACAGTAATAGTAATCTAAAAAATCAGATCATATCCACCGCTCTAAATAGAAAGAGAAATAAACAATTGAACACCGGAAGTGCAGGGCCAATTGTAAGGGTCGGACCTTTTTGCGTTCTTAGTTCCGGTCGTTTAGGTGAACAAGTGGCTGGACGGTTATGAAACTACTGCTTTTGTCCAAAACAAACTTCGCGACTAAAAGTGAAAAAAAACATTTCAAGATAATCTGGGCTAGAACGAAGAGAGAAATCACAAAGGACATAGCTAAGACGTCAACCTATGGCGTCTCTGTGGGCTAGGGCGAATGTCTGAGGCACGCGCTGTTCAGTTCCGACGGTGATGCGGAATCAACAATTAGCGCACCGGCGCTTGGGATCGAACTTGGTTATAGTCGATTACTTCTCGAACGCGTTAGGGTACAAAGTATTTTGTCCGCCGAGAGGCTATTCTGCGTGCTATCTTATTGGACCATGCTGCGGCGCTCTATTCGTCTGTTCCTGCCGAAGCTTACGTTTTTTTGCAGCGGCTACTATCTCTATTACTACTTCGCGATCAGCGTGCGCTTTCAAAAATACGCGCCATCGAGGACCAAGGCCTTGCAATGCGGAGGCTTCGAGAGGCACGCCAACAAGATTTTTTTTTTTAAGTTCAGGAACATGAGGTATGGTTACAGTAATCCCATCACACTGTGTGCCTTTGGGTGCACACATTGCCGCCTTATACCACGTCGAGTACTCACTCAAACGCGTTGGGAAACCGCCATGAGCATGAATATGATGGGATTGAAGAAATTTCCGAAAAGCAGAGTGCATTGGTGTCACGAGCGTATTATGATGTGAGACGCATCGCTTCATTTTTCATTGAATATTTAACGGTTTTTAGTTACTTGAAAAAAGCAAGCTTAGCACACTGACAACACCCTGTTGTGCGTGTATATCGGCATATTTTCCCAATTCCGTCATGATTCCTTCAACGGCTCGCTTACCGTTAATTGATGTACTGTTTATCGAATTCGATAATACATATGGGAAGATTTAGATCAGGAAATATGCCCAAGAAACTGAGCAGAATCCGTGTGAAGCGCATGCGTATCGTATGAATACAAATGAAAAACCTGTTAAGGATCTTGGAGCAACTCAAAAATTCTTTACGGTCGCTTCATCGAGAGATTTCTAGTAGTGTTTTCTTAGACATGACTACTAGAGGACTTACGAAGCGCGTGCGTCGACGATGAGTTCCTCTTTGAATTGTCGTCGAATAATAACATTTTTCGAATCTCACTACATTTTCCCAATTCATGAATAGAAAAGCACGGTCACCTTCCCAATTCCCTTTCTTTGTTATCAATTCTACCACTCTATTTTTTTTTAAGATTGTGATCCAAATAGCCTTCATGAAGCTTCAGTAGCAGGGCGTAGACCTTGGAAGAAGAGGGGATTTTAGGTGGGTTCGTCACTTTCCTAGGCTTAGTCTTCGTCAGAAAACTTCTTTACTCCCTTCGTCATGCACGTGGCGTTTCCCGACGCGTTTGAGTGAGTACTCGACGTGGTATAAGGCGCAATGTGTGCACCCAACAACAATGTGATGGATTACTGTAACCATCCTATGTTCCTGAACTTATAATCTTGTAACAGAGCGCGCGTCGGCCGACGTGCCCCACCCCCACTAAAGATAGCACCGACTATTCAACACACACTGTACAATGGTGTTTGGGGAATACAAATACCTTAATGTGAGTCACAGTCCTCATATTATCGGAAATGCTTGGATGGCATCAGACATGTCTTGTGGAATCAAAATCATCGAACTAAAGTGCTTGTTTCAGTAGGGCGTCGCGCTCATGTCGTTGGGGGAGGGGCATTCAAGTTAGTGAGCCAATTGCTGTGCTTGGGACTAGCCTTAGGCAGGGGATTCTGGGGTAGGATGTGAGCAATGTATGTGTTCTCCCTGGCGTTTCTCCCCTCTCCTGGGCTTAGTCCAAGTGTCACCTACCATCGGCTCTGTTGTGATGTACCCCCCCACCTCCTATGGACATGAGCGCCCTTGTTTATCTCAACATGTCGGTTTCTGGTCACCTATGCATTTAAACGCCACTTTTTTCAGCGCAGCTGGAATGCGTGGCGGATCCTGGAAAGGGATTTGGTCATACCACATGACCCTCTTTTTGCATGAATTAGCATGATCTTATACATCAACCTTCAAAAATGAACCTGACGATACGTTATTTGTGTGTGAAGTCCAACTTTCCTGATTTGCTATTTAGTTCGGCGGGAGAGGATAACGCGGGGTCATTGGTGGCGCTCTGTTATCGTCTGCTCCTCTTAAGGCTTATCTGTTAGTCCAAGGGCACGTTACTATTTTGCGTCGCACGTGGCCCAGTTTCGGAATACCCGCGCCATCGGGCGGACTTGGGACCGCTGGTCCACTCGGGCGGCGAACAAGCGATGCGAGCGACGCGATTCGCTCCATCGCTTGTCAAAATCCGGCCTTGAGTGTGACGGCGGCCTGGAGGAGCAGACGAAAAGAGCGCCGCAGTCACCTTGCCCCCCAACTAACAATAAGTTAGCACCCTTTTCTCTTCATAGAACCTCGGCACTGATATTTTATGTGATCATTCTTGGACCGTATTAGGTTTCATATAAAAACTTTACTCAAAAGCCCGACATTACGACTGGGTTGTTTTCTTAGAAGGCTTAGTTCACCACCGTAGGAGCAAAACAGCGGCGCTCTATGTCAGTTGTGCTGGTAAAGTTTCTCTTTTTTCTTAATGAAAAGGTCTACGGCCAGGAAGGCGGAAATGTTGAGTTTTGATTTGGTTTTGAAACAATAATATCTTCACAGTTCAATAAAAAAATTACGATGCATTAGTTATGCGATGTTCACAAAGCGATTCAAATTAAGCTGAACGCGCTCTAGTCTCCGCTGGGACGGTAGCAAACCTTCATTAATTCAGACTTAACGTGTCGAGATTAGCTCAGACCAAAGTCAGTTTAGATAACAGGTTCAGAGCGCTTCTCAACACATTAAGTCTTGTTTAACCTACAGTTAGATCATAACCAAAAAAACCATTTTAATTAGTAGTTAGAGAGTTAACTTGTAAACCTAATTCGT